ATTTTTAATCTTAAAATCAAAATTAACTTTAGATAGTCAAAATTTAGAAAGAAAAAAACACAATAAAAACAATTACTTAAGAAATCTTAAAACTTATAAAAAAAAATTATATTTTGTGTATGAAAACCTTGTAATGTTTACTAATAATCTGCAAAATTTTGTAAAGATATGCATACATTATCAAAATCATAGTATAATTACTCTCATTGATACTTTCATGGTTACCAGTTGGGTGGATCCCAACCCACCCCATATTGGTAGGGTTAACTGCCTTGGGGGGAATCTGATCTTGAACACCTTACTTTCAAACCATGGACCTCCCTTCTTGGACCAGTTCTCCACAGGTTGGTTTCTTCACCTGCCATGTCCTGGGTACTATGAACCAGGTTGCAGACTGCCTTTCTTAGCCAGACTAGGTTCTGCTTGCATTGGAGGTGCTTTATTTGGGACTCCACTCATCATTGCCTAGCCAACTTCTTTCTTCCAATTCACTGTTATTCATCCCTCAGCTCTGGCTATTGCTGTCTTTTGCCTAGTCTGGTCTTATACTCTTCCATGGACAAAGCCAGCATCAGGAGGTGCTCTGCCTTCCTCCCTTGCTGGAAAACCTTTCCAGCCTTTAACTTGAGTCCTGGCCTTGATTGGTGGTATCTTTGTCATTTCCTTTTGGAGCTCGGGTAATGGAAAGCACTCTTACCATCTGCCCTGGCTTCATATATGCTCACTGTTGAGATGAGATGTTCTGCAAGACCACTTGAGGTATCCTTGTATATATATTTCAATATCTGTGTACTGTCTGATCAAGACTGTGCCCCTTCCATGGACTATCATGGACAAAACCAGTACCATGGGGTGCTCTGTCTGCTTCCCTGGCATGTGCCTGCTGGCTTTTCTAAATAGGATTATATTTTCACCTGTTGTACTGCCTCCACTAAAAAAAACCTTTCTGACTGACAGACCAATGGAGATCCAGGCATTTTTTACAGGTCTCCCCACCATGACTTCCTCCACCATTTTTTTCTTTTCAAGTGGAGGAAGGGAAACCCTTAACACTAACCAGTTCCGAGCTACTGGGGTGGTATACCATGGATAACCCGCACTGATTGGAACCTAACGGCTGGGAGCTAAACAACGGGTGTCAATCCATGGGATATTGGGCATTGCTGACACTGTCAGTGTAGTGCAGGTCACCCCCTCATATAATCATGCCAGCATCCCCTATCCTACCGCCAACTCGATGCTAGTTCTCAGGTGGTCTAGTGCTGGTCTAGCATAGGGCCAGTCAACATAAGTCCTCACACATGTGGTTGGTAGGGATCCTTCTCCTACCATGTACTGGATGAAAAATTCCCAATGCCACCTGGTTTTGGACTAGAGTTGACCCTTCATGTTTGCATTCCCCTTCCAACTGTTGCCTTGATATTGGGTTCTCATTAGCCTAATGTTGGCTGTGTACTGGGTCTGCACATATGTGCCCTATTTGGGTTTACAGAATGGAAGTTGCTTTTCCCTTCTGCTTCCTGGTCATGAGGTGAAGATGGTTGGGACTCTTCTTCAATCCGCAATCATCTCCTGTTCAGATGAGAGGAGGTGAGCAGTTAAAAACTAATTGTGCCCTCCTCCTGCAGTGGACGACTATCCATTTGAATAGATGCATGCAATGACTTGTATTACCATCCTTCCGTAGCTGGTGTCAGTCCAAGAGTCTGGCGGTAGAGTTGAGAATAACATATACTAATGATTCCTGTGCCCTCTTCTTGTAGCTGATGTTGGTCCATTAAGTTTGACAGTAGAGTTAAGGTGAGCACTAGATACGATCCGAATATGCCCCGACCATGCTACAGATAATGGCTCTCCAACCTCATGTGTGCAAGTACTCGGATGCCCATGTTCTTATTCTGCCTATACCTGTGACACATGGGGCTTGTTTACCTCTTCCTTCTTTCCAATCTGGGTAAAGAGATGACATGGAGCTCCTGCCATTGGGAGTCACACACTCCATGGGCTTTCTTTAGTTGCTTCCTGAAGGGAGCTCACCTAGGTAACTTTTGTTCTGGTTCCTCCATCATTTTAATGGGGGATTCTAGCTTTCTGGTTACGGAGGTTTGTATCACCTCGGAAGTTAAGATTTTCCGTACTTAAAAATGTATTTCTGATAGATACTCACCTCTTCCTATTAATGGGGGCTTTTGCTGCATAATAATGTCATTATGCAATAGCACAATTCATGAGAAATCTTGTGAGATTTGATGAGAGTTGTCTGAAGGCATGAGGAAGATAGCTTTTTGTGTGAAAGGTGAGTGTTTGTCAAAAATACATTTTCAGGTAAGAATAATGTTAATTTCCTATAGATAACAGTAGAACAATAAATATGCTTAATCTCCAACTCCTAAGTACGAGTATTTTAATAGGTTGTCAATAATTAACATCAAGTTTTGGGACAATTTCATTATCTCCCCCCCCCCAAAGGTACATCACGTATAATAGTTAAACAAACCACCTAAAGGTCACGTTAGGGTAGCCTACATGATGTGTAAAGTTTAGTATACTCTAATCCCTTATAGTGATGGGACACGACAAGACACACATTCGACATGTAATGCTATTTGAATACAAGAAGGGAAACAACACCTCTTTAGCCACAAAGAATATCAAAAAAGTTTATGGAAATGTTTGGAATGTTCGTAAGTGTCAACGAGGGTTCAACAAATTTCGTTCAGGTGAC